TGGTTCAGTTTATGGTTCAAGATTGATCCTTGAAAATATGATTTTCTAAATAGGGAATACGATTCCCAGTTGAAGGGAGAAAAAATTTTTGAAATTCGCCCCTTATTCCGCAATCTTTGGGCGTCCATAGGTTGGATCTCTCATCCCTTCATGGATGACATTGACCTCCCCATTGCAGTCCGTAAAGGCAAACGGCATTGCACCACATCCATAGCCCATTGCATTTCCCAGTTCTTGTCCTATGATCACCTGTCCCCCTCTTACATGATCTTCCCTCTCTCTTTTTTGAAACTCTCTTCGTGTACCTTTTCTCTTCCTCTCTTCTCTTCTTCTCCTCTTTAATTTTGCATCCCTTTTCTTTTTAATTCAAGACTGATTGTAGTCTAGATCGACTAAGATCGATTCAGATGAGGAGGAGAAGGAATACTGCACTACAAGTAGAAGCAGTATATGGACTAGTAGAAACTGGAGTAGGAACATGGAAGCAAAAGGGAGTCTGATCTTCACCAACACTTTCCCTTTGAAAAGAAGAATGGGATGATTAGAACAAAGGTAAGGATTCAATGAGGATCAAAGCATCTATATCCCTTCTGAATAGGAGAATAACAAAAAAAGACACTTGATGGACTTAGGGTCAAATTTATTTCTAGGACTCATACCATGGACAAAGCAAATACAACCAGAGATCTTGAGGGTTAAATTAATTTTTGGTTCATCAAGGAAAAGGAATTGTTGAGGAGACTGAAGATTGAGTGTTTTTGATGGAAAGTCGGTTCATAAGATACACTATTGTCTCAACAACATCTCCATAGAAATGAGTGGGGACATGCATCTAGAACAATAGTCCTCGTGCCACCTCTACCACATGTATGTTCTTCCGTTTAGCAACCCCATTTTTCTAAGGGGTATGAGCATATGAGCTTTGATGAATAATTCCCTTCCCCTCAACAAACACCTGCAGATGTTTTTCAAAGTACTCCTTAGCATTGTCAAACCTTATGATTTTAACTCTTTTCTCAAATTGTTTCCACCATATTCAGAAAATTCTGAATAATTGTAGGTACCTCATCTTGACTCTTCATCAAATACAGCCATGTGTGTCGAGAATAATCATCAATGAAAAGAAGGAAATACTTATATCCATCCAACCATGCAAGGAATAATATATGGGCCCTAGACATCAGTATGTATCAAATAAAAATAAGCATTACTTCTATTACTCGCAAAGTACATGGTTCTATATTGTTTTGACAAATGACAAATTTCACACTGAACATTCAAGTTTGACATAGAATTAAATAACTTTGGAAACAAAAATTTCATGGAACCAAAACACATATGGCCAAGACAACAATGCCACAATTCTAAAAGACAAATTTTCATTAGGACAGGACTCTGTCTTGCACAACAACCCTTTCTCAGATGTGTGATCAAAAAGATAAACTCCATAATATTTTTATAAAATGGAATATATAATATCTACTATACATGCTATTCATAATATTTTTATATATAATATAATATAGAAACATAGGCACACATGCTGCACTCATAGAAATTGTTTAGCTGTTATACATAATTCATTCTACTCTGCATTTTCTTCTATGCAAACTTTTAGTATTACTTGTAGGTTTATAGTCTCATCCCACAATTCATGGAGATAATAATGGTCTTTATTTGGTTGGCGAGATAATAATAATCCTTCATGTGTAACAGGGTCTGGCAAGATGTACCAGTACTTGTCATGGTCAGCATGCTTGCATACTTCTGCTTCCTGGAGCAACTGCTGGTAAAAGAATTATGTTTGCACTTCTAAAAAATGCAAAATGTATGTTTCTCTTATGCCTTATAAATGCATGTATATCATACATCTAGAACATTGTACATGGGGTCCACCTGTACTCTACTTGTGGGATCTGCTTGAAACAATATAACATTCACAATATGTACAGTGCATTTGTAAGACATACGAGAAAACAGATTTATGTGCTTAGTATTGCTTTTGCACCTTGTGCTCAATATGGATATCCATATTTTTTTTAAAGCCCAAAGAGGCTTGTATTGGGGTAGGAGGTGCATTAGAACATTAGGGTAATATAGATGCAACAACCATATCTATAGAAGATGCCAAACCTAAACCCAATTGCCTTAAACCATCCCAACTAGACTTTAAAGCATGCAAAATAAATATAAAATATAAACTGATGACAATCTGTGATATCATTTGGTAAATCTAAAACTTAGTATGATTTCTGGGAAGAAGCCCTTAATTTTGCAAGCCCATCTTCCATTTTATTATTACTTTGGGCATGAAAAACATTAAGAACCCAACAAGTTATTCATGAATCGTGAATTTTCTTTCCATCTTGATTGGAATTTCAGTATAAAGAAAACTCAACATTTCACAACATTGCATGGATTTCAGCAACAATGGTAAAGTTGTACCTGTTAAAGTTTGACCTGCCCTAGAATTCTGTCTTGTTYGTTGAYTRTAAAGTAAACAGCAAGAAGTAGRAGAGGAAAGAGGAAGAGAGAAAAGAGAGGAAAGAGAGAAAGGCTGGTTCGAATTAGAGAAAAAA